GAAAAATATAGCATCGTGGAATTGTACAAATCTCTTTATGAAGGTGATGAGATAACCTTTGACTTGTGCATTGGTTCGAAACCATGCTTCAACAAAAATAAGGACTTCACTATTTCAACGAAGTCATCTTTTGAACGTAAGTTAAAGTTCTAAACACTTACTTATTATTTTTCTTAGCTTCTTCCTCTTCTCTCAATTTCTTTGCAATCATTCGTGGATTCTTTGCGCGTCCAGCTGCTAATGCAGCTAATTGTTTCTCTGTGAGTTTACGCTTTGGTTTAGCTGGTTTCTCTTCTTGTGTTTGTTCTTTTGGTTTGAGTTCATTAAGTATTTCTTCACGAAGTTCATTCTTGAGTGCTTCTCTGTCGAAAGTATTCTCAGTCATTTTGTTAGGAGTAAAAAATTTTATTAGGATAGAAATGACGTCAAAACTTTCACCAAGTGAAAAGCAATCAATCATATTGAATGAAGCTAAAGGAATACAACATCCATTATATTATGTTTGTCATATGAAGAATGGTTCAGTTCAAGTTAGAAAGAGAAAGGCACCATTGAATTCACCAGCTCCTGCCCCAGCTCCTGTTGTTCAAGAAGCTCCTAAAGTTGATGAGAAGAAAGAAGAAGAACAAGCATATACTAATAAAATGTTGTTAGAGATGATGACAAAGATATTAGAACGTAACAGTGTAGTTAATGAACCAAACATGGACCCAATTGAACGTGAGAAGGAAACTAAAGAGAATCAAGAATATGTTCAATCAATGGAAGAGAAAAGAATACACTTCGATGATGAACCAGAGCCTGAACCAGAACCTCCTAAACCTCAGCCACAAATAAGACGAATAATCCCAAGAATAAGAAGATTGTAAATTTTTTATAGCTGAGAAAGATGTTGAACGATAACCTCAATACATACAGTATTGCTGATTCCATCAGACAAGTAAGATATTATTTCGATCAAGTTGATGGGGCAGTTCCTATTGGAGATACTAACCATAGATATGTCCCAACAAAAGTGCCAGCTATGCCGACAAATACTATTGATAACGGTTATATTACATTTAACATATCACCACCTGGTGAGAACATGATTGACTTATATAATACGTTCATTAGTGGTTATGTCGATGGTGAGTGCATAATTACAACAGAAACTGAACCAGCTGATGAAAAAGTTCCTAAATATGATGGTGAAGTATATAAAGAAAGAGCTGTTGAGACAGCTCCTACAGGATCAAATGTTACAGCAATTAAAGCAATTGATACTAAATATGCTGGTGGCAAATCATGTGCACATCTTCCAGCAATTTGGTTGGGATACATTGATTCATTCTATGCTGTTGAATCATATCAATTAATCGCTAATGGTAAAAGTGTTTATACACAAGATAATGCTAGAGAAGAAGGTTACATTACTTCTACTGCATCTACAACAGAAGCTATTAAGAAAGTTGATGTATTTAGTAAGGCTAGACATAAAGATGTTTTCAATAGATGTGATACAGTTCGTTCTGGACAGATTATTGAGTTCAATAAACCAATTAGTGGTGCAACTACATTAAAGTTCCACATACCAATCAAGATTGACCTAAGAAGATTCCTAATACTTAATAACATTAGATTCCTTCCAGCGTTTGCTGGTAACTTACAACTTAAGGTTAAGTTCAGTATTGCTGGTATGGTTTGGACACCATTAAGTTATCAGGATATTCTACCATTACCGAACATGCAAGCCAATGTTACAAGCTATATTCCAATCACTAATCACTTCACTCCTATCTATGAAGGTATCAAAGTTATTGATACTGTAACTTGGACTGCCGATAAGAGTACGATATCATTTGGTACCAAGTTTATTAAGTTCGCTAAGAAGAATGCAAACTTCTTTGAAATGATTACATACTGTAACTCATTCTCTTTGGACCCTAACATCTATAGTGATTTGGTGACAAGATATTCGGCAAAGACTCTAAACTTCCCAATCAAAAGAATTGACTGCATTACTATGGATGGTTCAATGGCTAAAGGTGAAGGAACTCCTTGTACATTTACGGCAGCATTTACTCCATTATATGTGAACACCATTTATACACTATTTAAGAAGACACCTAATTATAACACTACCTATGAAAATCCATTGTTTGAACAAATTCAATTGAACTGTGGAGCATATGGTAACATACCCGCTGAGGCTCAAGCATCTAATGATCCAATCTTCTATGAGATGCAGGCAAATGCCACTAACAATAATAACGATACTGTTGGCTTCAACTATGATGTCATGAGGTCTATCACAACCACATCAGTCCCTCAATTTGGAATCGAGTCAAATGACTTAGGTCATTACCTATGTGGATTCCCTTGCGAAACTGATTATACATTCCAACAGGGTCAGTTATCTAATTCACCTATTACATATAAGCTTACAGTTAAGCCAACAGCAGAGTCTATTAAATATACTGAGAAACCAGTGTTATGCTTCTTACGTCACGTTTGCCTCTCCATACAGATTAAACAGGTGGGACCACCTATCGTACTTCTCGACGATTATGATTTATCAGCCCCTGCTAGTGAATAAAGGTTAGTTTACATATGAACGTTTATTTTTACACATATATGCGTACATATGCGCGCCCGTATGGTGTCAGTTTTCTGTCACTTTTTTCATTGTGTCGGTGCCTGTAGCTGTAGGCTACAGGCGACGCACAATGTATACTGTACTTATAGGTATCTTTTCTTTTAACTCTTTCAATATATTGTTTGTGTCTGGAATATGTTTGAGACGGTCCATATAGTTGTCGAAGTCATTGCATATAATCTTTGAGTCTGGGAATATTGTATGGCACAAATGGGATATATAGAAACTTCCACCGAACAAATCTACAAATGTTAGACCATTCGGTAGTTTCTTAAGTTCTCTCAATATAATATCTTTACATCTACTCTTATTTCCAAAGAACGGTAACGGCGGTTTTGTAAAATTCATTTATATATAATAATAAAAATGTTTTTACCCGAAAAGTGACAGAAAAGTGACAAAAACATGAAAACATATATAATTTGTGAAAAGTGACATTTAAAAAGTGACACCATTAATATGATGTAAATAACAACGGTTTTGGTTTTGTCACCGGCTGGTCGGCTGGGGTTCGGTCCTCCTCTTGGGTCTTGGGCAAAATTTCTTATGGGCTAGAGGGCGCAACGCGCCTGGAAGCCCTCCGAATAAAAACTTCATTTATACTAAACATCTTCGGGGCTAGAGGGCGCAACGCGCCTGGAAGCCCCACTACCTTTTTTTTGCAAGCAGTTTAAAATTCTTTTTGATTTATTTGAAATCAATCTAATTAAAAACAATTTGCTGAATTCAAAATTAGATGAAAAGCTTTGGTCATAGCAATTATATGCATGTAACAGGGTTTCATCATCTTGAATAGGATGAGAGCAATGAAAACATCTCAATAGTCAATAATTTTTAGTTTAGATTTCAATATTTGACTTAAAAACGGGTATATATTTCAAATAGACTGGCATTGCGTATTGTTATGCTTTGAATTCTATCAAAATATTTGGGCTCATATTTTCTAATTATATATTATTTGGAGTATAGAGAATTCAATTAAAAATTATTGATTATGTAGAGTTACTAATGATTACTAAAACTTGCAAAAAAAAAAGAGAAAGTTCATTAACTTTAGAAATAGTTTTATTGATAATTGCAAATTCTGCTTGGCAAATACCAGTTGAAAAATGAATCAATTTGTTAGTAAATAGTTCTGTTAGATTTTTAGTTTCTGCATTATATTTAAATGTTTTTGGAATCGAATTGTCAATGTAACAACTATCAATTGTTAATTGATCATAAGAGTTATATATCAAACACAAATCTTCAGGAGTAGTGTTGTTAATAAAAGAACAACTTTTTACAGTAAGAGAATTATTTCTATGGAAAATAATTCCGACTCTTGTTTTTGTATTAATATTAGTATTATTTATAATATTACATGAATCAATCAAAGCGTTTTTCCAAATATTTATCATTATACCTTCACTATCTGTTGCTAAATTATTAACAACAGTTGAATAATTAAATTTTGTTGTGTATTGAAGTGATTCACCTCTAAAATGTCCGACAGGTTTGTTCGTAGCTTTACATGATGAGAAATTTGTTGATGAAACAACGATTTTATCACTTATTGCTGTAAATGTGTTGCCACCAACGCTTTCACTTCCTACATCGAAAAGGGAACTTTCAATAAAAAAATTTAAGTTATCTGTATCAACTTCTGTATATGAAAAGTGACCTTTTCCGGAGCTTTGGCATTTTGTAGAACAGAATTTGCGTTGAACAATTGAACTATTTCTGCCAATTTTGTAGAAAATGCAATTTCCATCTGATGTTGATGCACAATTACTAAAATAACAGCGGTTATGTAGGAAGAATGTGTTAACAATCGGATTTAAGCTGATAACTTTGTTATTATCATTAAAAAAATTGCATTCATCTAAATAATATTGGCCATTTGAGGATGACGGATTACAGTTTTGACAATGTTCAGTTTTTGAACCTGTGAATTGATGATTGAAGTAGTAATTCCAAGGATCTTCATCTGCAAAAGATGACTTTTCCCCAAAATTTCCCACTATGTCAAATAACTGTTTTTATTCATACATTATTGGTCAAATCTCTTTAATTAGATGATGTAATTTGATGGCTCATCCAAATACATGATTCATGCTTCTTGATTACGAGAAAGAATCCATGTTATATGAATTGGGCAATAAGAAGTTAAATCACAGTCTCTCACATGGAAAATTAAACCATGGAATTAATCATGGTTTTATATTCCCTCATATAAGTACTTCTATCATTAATATGAGCAGGTTTTGTGATTTTAGCTTAGTGTGGGAGCCCTTTTGAGAGAATGTATGCGAAGATTCCCATGAAAAAGTAAACAGATTAATGTAAGTTTTTGAAATAAAAAAACAGAATAGTTTATTTTTTAAGAGAACAGTTCTTCCATTCTCTTCTGAACAAAGTCGTCTTTGATCTTACTTCCGCCAACACGAATGAAATCGCAGCACTGAAGTTGTCTTACTTCATTCCACATCTCTGGAGCGTTTCTGTATATCATGTGACACAATCCAACACCAACTTCTCGTAATCTCTTCGGGAAGTTGATTTCTGCTCCAATTAATTGTATGGATACTTTGCCAAGATCCAAAATAATCTGTAATAACTCTGGCATGTCCTTACACACATAAGACATTGTTATTACAGCTTCGTAAATTGTTTAATTGAGTCAATGTATTTGATGTGAATATCAAATATCCTTTGCAAGCTCAAAACAATTGATTCAGCAACAATAGATAATGGTTCTATTGATATTCCTCCTATTATACTTATAAGTGATGCTGTGAATGAGTAACAATCAGGAGAAACTTCATTGTCTGATAAAATTTGAGCTCCAAAATTGGAAAATTGGGCTAAAACGTCCAAACTGTCGACTTTCGTCATTAACACGCATGCGCTCTTGATTGCTGTTTCCATTTCTGTTGGGAATTCCTTGTTTAACATGAATGTTGCGCAGACATTTAATGCATGAACTAATAATTCGGAATTTTGATTGCCATAGTAGTATCCAAGGTTTCCAATTATTTCTATTGATGATTTGGACTCTTGTTGGGACTCAATGATCTCGTTTGCAAGGTTATATAACTTATCATAAATTTCATCAGTGAATTGCTTCTCAGTAGTAATGATTGTTGCGAATAATGAGTTTAGTACACTCATTATCTTGTCAATCATGGTTCTCTGATTGTCTTTTAGTTGATTTGCAAAATCAAATAAAAGATTGAACAATCGCAGACGGTTTGGATGTCCATTTTGCTCTTAAGGTCATCATTATATCAAATGCCTATTCTGGTAGGCTTGGTTCTCTGTATTCTGTATGAATTGCAATAAAAATTCCAAAATCGGGCAATAACTTGAGGAACGCTAGTTCCAATAACGGAAACACAATGTAGTGCTGAATGGACCATAACAGAATCAGTGGAAGTGCAAAATTCGAAAATTCCGGATAATTGGTCGGAGTCAATTTCAACAAATCCTGATGAAAACTGCTTGTGAGAAGGCCTTGACAGCCATAATTTAATTCTTATGGAGTCATCTTCAAGGAAAGTTGAGATGGTCTCGGAATATAACTCTACGATGGCAGGATCTACTTCTTTCTTACTGTTTTTAATAACTTCATGCAATAGAAATGCTGCAGTAAACTTTGAAGACTTATTTTCGCTGTTCGCGTTCTCAGATATTATTTCAACCAAATAACTAACGCAAAGATTAAAATAACACTCAATAACGGATATAAGTGTATCCATAGCAGCTATTACTGGTGAATAATCTCCTTGTGTATATGAAGTGGTCGTTGGATCATTTTGAATTATGAATAAACCGAGATCTATGATCTTTTGGAGGTTATTTTCGACCAATTTAAATGGAGTTTCAATCCTTGTTTCATCTTCGCACACGTAAAGCCAGAATTGCATGATAAAAATCAAAATTTTTGGATCAATTTGACGTTCTTGGTTGCTAAAGTAGTTTTCTACATATGAAAATGTCTCCGGAGGACAATCGAAGGCCAAGCCAAGCATTTGGTAGCAATATTGAGGAATTTGGGCCACAAACCAGAAAAAGTCAACGGGATCTGCTTCTTCTACACCCAATAGATGCCCAATAAACGCAAGACCGAACTCACTGTTCTTTGCCATGGCTGACCATAGTGGTTTTATGAGTTTTCCGGCAATATTAATAAATAAATGTTCAAGAGTTAAGTTATTTTGATTTTGATTGATGTAAAGGAGTATTGTACTAACAATTAACTCTGCAGCTGATGGTGAATTCACTGGCAAGCAATCAATAATTGAATCAATTGAAATTAATGCATTTTGAACTGCCATTATTGTACTATCGGTGGATATAAGAGGTAAGAAGTCTAACGCTGGATATTGTATTCCTGTTCTTGAAGGAGAAAGATAGTATTGAGCAATTCTAAAATGAGCTAATGTAACAGCAAGAGAACTACCATACTCTATGCCTTCATTGCTATCGTCGGTTGAAGAAAACTGTGATTCGAGAGCGCTAATAAAGTTTTGTATTGATTCTGGTGAAATTCCTGAAATTGATACTGATTCTATTTTGCCATCTTCGATTTTGATCCTAGCTACACTTGTAGACATCTTAATTGTATTTTTTCTGATTCTAATAGGTAGATCTGGATTTAAAATGATTTCGCAAAGTTTATTCAAGAAAAGCTCTGGCTGTTGAGTCTTAGCTTCTGTAAGAAATCTATCTGCCTCAGGTAGGTTTGGGTTACTTTGATCTCCTAGAATAGAAATTGCTTGAACAAAATCCATCCTAATGGACGTAGGACGATAAAAGATTTTGCTTTAGAAGAAAAAATGCCTTTTATAAATTACTTCAGAGAACATTTTAGCACTTTGATACAGTCAAATTGGAACCATAATCATGCCCCAAAAATGATTATTCCCTAAAAAATTAATCTAAATTGGTATTTTTATTTAATATAATGTAATATAGTATATTTAGTAGTATGGATTGTCATAGTCTTCTTTGGTATCTGGAGAATTGTACGCTGGTGCTGGCGCTGGAGCGATATATTGTCCAGATTGTTGTGGAGTAGGGGTAATTTTAGCTAAAAGTGACACACCCGTGAAGGGTGTGATTACCGATCAGTAATTTCGACAGTTTAGAATTTAAAATTTTTTATGGAACTGTTGCGAGTTTCATAAAGAATTTAAGGAATATAAGCAAAGATTTGAATCAAAATCTTAGACCTAAGCCGCTCGATTCGCTCGCGGCTTCCGCGAATTACAGATCAGCAAAGATTTGAATCAAAATCTTCGAACTAAGCCGATCGCTTCGCTCGCGGCTTTCTTTATTATTTTAAATTTGCATATTTCCATCAAAAGTTCATAAGGTAAAAAATTTCGTTTATTTTTACTAAGAAAAAAAAGGTTTTTGATAATAAATTTATTTTATTTCGAAAAAGTAGCAATAATCGTAAAAGTGTATTGATAGGCTTGCTAAAGTAACTAATTTTAGCTGTCAAATACTTTTGTATTTTGAAGTAAATTAGTATAAATTTGTTTTTACTTTTATTTCGAAAAAGTAGCAATAATCGTAAAAGGGTATTGATAGGCTTGCTAAAGTAACTAATTTTAGCTGTCAAATACTTTTGTATTTTGAAGTAAATTAGTATAAATTTGATATTATTTTAACTCCCTTTGAAAACCTCAATTTTCCATACAGAGGGAACGGGAATAGCATCCAATATTCCCTGAGAATGGTTACGCATTCTCAGTTCCCTCTATATTTCGAACGAAGCTCTCATCGGTCTTTTTTTTAATACTAAACGTTTTTTCCCCTGTCACTTTTAGCTAAAATTTGGGTTTGCCGATTGTTGTGGAGGAGCTCCAAAAACAGATTGTTGTGGAGGAGCTCCATAAGCAGGTTGTTGTGGAGGAGCACCATAAACAGATGATGGTGGTTGAGGTTGTTGTGCAGCTGCTGAATTGTATGGATTTGCTTGTTGTGGAGGAACGTTGTGTGGTGGAGGTGGAATGTAATTTGGTTGTGATTGTTGTTGCTGCTGTTGTTGTAGTAGTTGTGGTGGTGGAGGAGAATAGTATGATGCAGGAGCTGTGTTGGTTTGAACTGGTGTTGGGCGATCTTCTTGAACAGTTTCAACTTGATATTCTTCATGATGGTTGTTTGATATTGTTGTTGATGATGAAGATGAACAACATCCTGAAGAACAACAGCAGATGAAGCATATTGTGCATATGATACTAATGACAATAATGATAACAACAATAACAATAATAACAATTGCCCATGTTGGAAGACCATCACCACTAACACTTGATTTTCCAACAGCACGATATGAATTCATCTTACTGTAAGAAGAAGAGGAAATCTTGTAAAAATCGTATTTTGAACTAGATCCATCAATGGCATAATTGTCGTCACTTGATGATCCTCTTAAATCAAATTCGATCTTGCCATTAGATGTACTAGCAATAAAAAAATAAGAGTTAAATGTAACTGTTATAATAGGATTATCCTCATTCTTGTCTGATTGTGTCGTACTGTATTCATTAGAACCATATGCATCTTTAGAGAAATGATAAAGATTATCAGATTTAATATCAACACGACCACTTGTGAAAGCAGATACAACGCAATATAATTTATTGTCATCTGGATCTTGTAATTTGTATTTAGCTGTACCAGAAAGTATTGTTACATAATTACAGGATGAAGATAAAGTTGAATAGTTATAAGCAATAAAATTGCATGTTTGTGAACTACTTATTGAAGTTAATGTAAGCGTGCCAGATGATGAAAATAAAATAGCTCTTCTATCTAATGAACCAAGAATATCAAGAGTTGTTGATCCAACAGCTGCTTTGCCTTCAATAGATTTAGATTTAGTGAAAACAATTAATGTATCTTCAGGGATTGAGTATGTAGTTGAGGAAGAAATTGTCATTGAATTAGATCCATATGAAAATGAGCCAGAAGTAGAACTTCCACCTGATGATGAGCTTCCACTTGATGATGAAAGCGAGCTAATGGAAATTCCATTATTAAAATTAAGGTGTGATTCACTATTGTCGGAGTATTTATAGTTGTAGGCAGAGTTATAAGAATTTGCTGTAACAGTATAAGATGTGGAAGCTGAATATCCTTTATACTTATACAGTAATGTAACTATCTTCTTGTTATAAAGTGTGCCAGAAACGAAAGGACTACCGGGTATATCACCAGTATATGAATAATAAACATAGTTGCTATCAGATTTTTCGACAGATACATCAAAATCAGTGTAATCTAAAATAACTAAATAATAATCGTAACTGGAAGAAGAAGATTTTGATATTGTATATGTTTCTGAAGCCGGAACAATCCAGAATTCAAGAGAATCGTATGTTTTTGGGAGAAGGAAAATGCCAAAATGAAACCTATATGTAGATGTGCTTGATATTTTATACGTTGCAGATGGGTAAGAGATTTTGTAGACTCTATTACTTAAATATTTGCCATCAATATATATAGATGATAGATCTTCCACAAATGCGATGTAATAATCAGCGCTTGATTTTGCTTTAAGATCGAATTTAAGGTCGGTATTTGAACTTGATATGCTCATATAATCGTAGCCTG